TGAGGCGGTGGCGTGTCCCCGTGCAGCCTGTGCGGGAGCCTGCAGGAGGAGCGGGTGCAGGACGCGGACAGCGTGCAGCAGCAGCAGCAGGCCCACCAGCAGCACAGCTGTACCCTGGATGAGTGCTTCCAGTTCTACACCAAGGAGGAGCAGGTCCTGCCCTGGGCTCCACTCCCTGGCCGGGAAGGGGGGCCTGCTGGTGGGGTGGCCATGGGCCATCGAGGCCTCAATGTCCTGCAACTTCCTTTCCAGCTGGCCCAGGACGATGCCTGGAAGTGCCCCCACTGCAAAGTCCTCCAGCAGGGCATGGTGAAGCTGAGCCTGTGGACCCTGCCTGACATCCTCATCATCCACCTGAAAAGGTTCTGCCAAGTTGGGGAGAGAAGGAACAAGCTCTCCACGCTGGTGAGGTTTCCGCTCTCTGGGCTCAACATGGCCCCCCACGTGGCCCAGAGAAACACCAACTCCAGGCTGGGGCCCGGCCCCTGGCCTTCCTGGAAGCAGCCGGCCTGCCTGCCCACCGCCTACCCGCTGGACTTCCTGTACGACTTGTACGCCGTCTGCAACCACCACGGCAGTCTGCAAGGTGGGCATTACACAGGTGAGCCTGCCGAGCCTCCGCGCCGCAGCTGGGCCCACGCGCCTCAGACAACTGTGACCTCAGCACGCCCCCAGACCTGGAGCTTTTTGAATGCTGAGCTCCCTTGAGCTCTCCGCGTGAGCAGACTCTTCACCCACCGCATACAGGGGAACGTGGGGAAAATGTGGCACCCGGCCCCAGCTGTAAAGCCGATACCGAGTTAGGAGGTTGGCTATGGGAATATCAAGTGACTTATGGCTCGAATGCTGACCATCCAATGTAGGAGGGCAGGGGCTGTGGGTGGTACAGGGAGGATAGACCATGCTCTGTGAGGCGGTCCCACGTGGGAAGGTCCTGGGTTCGCCTCTGGAGACCTCCCACAGTCTGACAGGTAGAGGTGTACCCATGGCCAGGCTGAAGGCTGGGGCGGATTATGGTCTTGGGTTCCTGTTGGGTGAAATGCTATCTCTGGCTCTTTTTCTTAGTCTCTGTAGCTCATGGAAGAAAGAAAGAAAGAAACTAAAAAATTAATATAGAGGAAGATCGTTAGCTGAAAGGGTGACTTTTTATTCTTATCTGTGATTCAACACAAGGAAACCTATGATTTGATATCTTCTTTATTTTTTAAAAAAAGTATCAGTGGGCACGTACAGTCACCAGAGAGAGAGAGAGAGAGGGAGGGAGGGAGCCCTCATGAGGCATGGTCTTGCTGCCGTCCCTGTCACTCCACTTCTCCACCCCAGCAGGATTTGTGGCATGTACATATGCCCAGTGTGTTTTCTTCTTTTCTTTTTTTAAAACATATATATGGAGATTTTTTTTTTTCTATAGGGTGTGTGTGCTTGCTGGAGAGACAAAGAGACAGAAAGTGAGAAATCACCCCCCGGGGGTATGACCGCACTACAATCCCTTCTCCATTCTCCTCTCAGGATCTTGGGCAAGCATTCACATGTGCCTAATGTGAGTTTTAAACTGCTGGATCTGGGACTTGAGCCACAGTTGACTATGTGGGAGTCCAGCGATGTAACCACTGTGCCATCTGCTGGTCCCATCCAATGTGTTTTCTAAGCCCCTCTGGCTAGGTCTCACACTGCAGCCAGCCAGGTGTGATCTGGCTGTCCGCACAGGGCCCTTAACCACTGTGCCGCAGGGCTGGCCCACGTGTGGTATCTCTATTCTACGGGGGAGCTTTACATTTTTATTCCATGGGGAGCTAAAGAGCCATGGGTGAGTGGAAGCATGGAAACAAATATCCAAGTGACTCTCAATTGCTAATAATCATACCTTTAAGCACTTTTAGAGAGCATCCGTCTCGGGACCAACAGTTAGCGTAATGACTATGTTGCTGGACTCCCATGTAGTTGACCGCGGTTTGAGTCCTGGACCTGGTGCCTTAAACTCATGCCGGGCATGTGTGCATGCGTGCCCAAGATCCGAAGAGGAGAATGGAGGAGAAGGGATTGCAGCGTGGCCATCTCCCCTGGTGGGTGATTTCTCACTTTCTGTCTCTCTGTCTCTAGCTGTCTTTCTGGGGAGCACACGTACTCTGTAGCAAAAACCTCTAAAAAAAAAAAAAAAAAAAAAAAAGCGAGCATCCTTCTCTGATGTCACTCCTTGCCTGTCTCCCACCAAGACTTCTCGGGAAGAACAGGAAGCCTGCAGAGAGCATTGGGAGCAGCCGTAGTTGTCTCTGTGTAGACAGTATTGGAGGTTGATCTGTGTGACCTGTGTGATTCTGGGCGGGGGTCTTAGGGTATGTCTGACATTGGAGATGGAACAGACACCTGTGGAAAGAGAGAAAAGAGGATTCAGGGACAGGACAGAAGTCCCGTGAGCAGACAGAGAGGCATGGGAGGGTGGGGTTGCACTGGGCCAGTTGTGCTGGCCACACCTGAGTCACAGTGATGGCCCATGCTCTGTGGTGCCATCCTGTTCTGCAGCTGCCCTGCTCCTGGTGGGAGAGGCGGCCATCTTTGTGACTTCTGGGAGCATTGATCTCAGCTACTTCTAGGGTCTTCTCTCGGCTAGAGAGAGCTTAGAGGAAGTCCTCGGATAACTATTTGTAGATTTGGGGGGACGTCTCTCCTCGGACTATTTTTGCTAAGAGCATTAGAACTTAATCCCTCTGCACACTTCTTTTTTTTTTTTTTTTTTTTTAAGATTACCATAGGGTGCATGCAGTTGCCAGAAAGAGACAGAGAGAGAAATTGAACAGTCCCCCTCCCACCCCCAAGAAATGGCTATGCTGCAATCCCTTCTCCTCCATTCTCCTCTTGGGAGTTTGGGCATTCACACACACATGTGTGGGGTGTTTTTCAAGCTGCTGGTACCAGGACTTGAATCCAGTCCTCTTAACTACCATGCCACCCGCTGGCCCCTTTTGCTCACAGTAACAATGAAAATGAGGACAACTGGAACCTGGCACTGTCACTTCACATTGCTGGTTTGCCTCCTCCTCATTAGCTCATGGGGTGGCCCCGACAATTCAGAACATCCATGTCAATCACGGGGGCAGTTAGAGATGGATCAGGACCCTGGAGGGCTGGTCTGTGTGTGTCCCGAGCTCTGCTTTATCCAGGGCAACATCCAGCGCCCTCCCCACGTTTAAGAGGCAAATCCTCAGTTTGAGAAGGTGGTTCGGCAGTACACAGGACCCTGTTCCTGTGAGGTTCCCCTTGCACAGTTCTCCTGGGGTCCGAGTTGCTCACACGACGTGCCACCACCTGCCAGGAAAAAGTCTACTAAAACTGAAACCAAAGGGGGGAACCCAAGGGCGGAGGGGACTCATGAGGGTGAATGCAGACCAGTGTCTGCAGCCTGCACAGCTCAGGGGAAGGTCCCATCTGTGCCAGCCGGGGCTATCTTTTCCCTCGTGCCAGTCCTGCACAGCTGTTGAAGGGGCACAGGCAGATGTTCAGCCCAGGCACTCGCTCCAGGGCCCGTAGCTTCTGTCCTGCAGAGAAGAATGGCTTCTAAGATGAACAAGTCCCAAGCTGCACAGGGTGTCCACGAGCATCATCCTGCTCCTGTAGGTGTGGCATACCCTCTGAGAGCTTCCTAAGAAAAGGTGACAAAGGCCAGCAGGTGGCGTGGCGGTTAAGGTGCTGGACTTCCACATGGCCGGCCACGGTTTGAGTCCTGGACCTGGTAGCTTGCTTTCTCACTTCTCTTCTCTCTGTCTCTCCCTGGTGAGCATATGTGCCCTATAGCAAACTTAGGGAAAAAAAGATAATAATAATGAAAAAGATTAGTTGATTTTTAAAAAAAGAAGAAAGAGTGACAGGAGCTTGCCATTCTGAGTCCTTGCCTGTTACGAAGTACCTCTGTTCCCGTACTGGATGGTAATGGATAATGTGGTTGGACGTAGAATTCCAGACCGAATGCAAATCATGTTCTCAGGCTTGGGGCAGTGTTGCTCCATGGGGAATGGGGTCTACAGTAGTGCTTTGCTGCTGAGTTGGGTCAGGTCAGTTTGATATCTGTTCCTCTGGGATGTATTTTTCCTTCTGGAAGCTTTCAGGTTCTTTATCTGTGGTATTCTGAATTTTTTTTTGTTTTGTTTTTGGAGAGTTTTTTGCTATAGGGCACACGTGCTCACCAGAAAGACAGAGAGAGACAGAGAGACAGAAAGCGAGAAATCACCCCCTAGGGGGATGGCCACGCCACAATCCCTTCTCCTCCATTCTCCTCTTGGGATCATGGACACACACATGCACACTTATCCAGTGTGAGTTTAAGCCACCAGGTCTGGGACTTGAACTGCGGTCAACTACATGGGAGTTCAGCGACATAGCCATTATGCTAACTGCTGGTCCCTGGTATTCTGAATTTCAGGGAGTGTGCCTTCCTGTGGGTCCTTCTTCTTTGTCATGCTGGGCACTGTGGACCTCTGTCCTGCAGACATGCGATCTTTGCTATTGGAAGCATAAATTCTCAGGACTGGGATAGCTGGCTTTCTCTCTGTCTCTGTCTCTGTGCTTTATAGTCAGCAGGTGTATGCACTCACCAGCGAGAGAGAGAGAGAGAGGGAAAGCACTCGTCCATTGGGGCGTCATCTTGTCACAATCCTTTTGCCCCCAGTCCCCCATCCTGTCAGGGTCTGGGGCGCATATGTACACTTGCCTGGCTTGTTTTTCAGGCTGCTGGGTCTAGGACTTGAACCGTACAGTCAGCCACATGAGCTCCAGCTGCCTTAACCACCATGCCTTGGCTGTCTCTATTATTATTTTAATGGAGAGATGGTCTCACCATGCAGTTCCCTCCTCCCCCAGCTTCCAGCCAGCCAGCATCACAGGCGTATCAGGAGAGTTCAGGCGAACCCGAGATCCAAACCCCAGCCTCCCCTTAAGGCTCCAGTGTCACACTGCAGTGTCCTGCCACCTTCACCACCAGGCTGGCCCAGAGCCTTCTTTTGTAAAACCCACAAGTTAAAATGGCTTTTACGAGCTTAAAGATGGTTAAACAAACAAACAAACAAACAAAAAGAAGAATATGTGACAGAGAACATATGTGGCTGTATGTGACTTGCAGAGCCTAAAATATTAGCCATCTGGCCCATTATAGAAAAGTCTGCTAGGGCCAGGAGGTGGCGTAGTGCTTAAGGTACTGGACTCCTACGTGGCAACTGTGGTTTGAGTCCCAGACCTGGCAGCTTGAAGCTCATGCTGGGTGCATGTGCGTGCATGCCCAAAATCCCAAGGGGAAAATGGAGAAGGGAGTGCAGTGTGGCCTACCTTCTGGGGTGGAGGGTGAGGGCTGTGATTTCTTGCTTTCTGTCTCTCTGTTTCTCTGTCTCTTCACTGAGTGCACGTGCCCCATAGCAAAAACTCCCTCAAAGGGCTTCCAAAAGCAAAGACTGCATGTCTGCAGGACAGAGGTCCTCAGTGCCCAGCACGACAAATGAAAAGGACCCACAGGAAGGCACACTCCCTGAAATTCAGATAAATAAACACAGCACAAATGCTTTTAAAAAGAAACGTAAGTCTGCCAACCTCCCAATTAGTCGGCTAAGGCCTGTTTGCTAAGATGTGAAAGACGAGGAGGATATTTTGTTGCAGTTATTCGGGAGGTGCAGGTGGAGGTGGAGGTGCAGGTGGAGGTGGAGGTGCAGGTGGAGGTGCAGGTGGAGGTGCAGGTGCAGGTGGAGGTGCAGGTGGAGGTGGAGGTGGAGGTGCAGGTGCAGGTGCAGGTGGTGAGAATCACATTTGCCCATCGCTTCCATATTTGATTCTATTTCTTAGGTAGGAAGAAGGTATACCATAATCCCAACCATGATTCTCGTTTGCACATTTATTACATGTGTAATACATGCCTTTCGAAGCTTCTCAGAAGAAATATAGTGAATGTTCACTTTATTGCTAGCTGGATAACTCGGGGCTACTTTTTATTGGAAATTTTGCCTGAGCAAGAAGTATAACAAGGATTTAAGTTAAAATAACAGTACCAGTAAGAATCTACTGATGCTTTCTGATTCAACAAAATTCATTGCTGGCCAAAAATGCGTTGTTTTCTCTCCTGGTACAAGCGTGTTCATTTTTCAGCTATGCCAGTGGGAAGTGTCTGCCTCCTTTTGGGGCTCCGATAATTGAGACCTGGGGTTTGGACCTTTGCAGCCTTCTGCCGGAACTCTCTGGATGGCCAGTGGTACAGTTATGACGACAGCACGGTGGAGTCGCTTCGAGAGGATGAGGTCAATACCAGAGGGGCTTACATCCTGTTCTATCAGAAGCGGAACTGCATTCCGCCCTGGTCGGCGAGCAGCTCCATGCGAGGTGGGTGCTGCTGCTATTCCGGAAAAGGGATGTGGGAAGTCACTTTAAGAAATGACTGTGCCAGCCAGGTGGCATGGTGGTTAAGGTGCTGGACACCTATGTGGCTGGCCGTGGTTCGAGTCCCAGACCCAGTGGCTTCAAACTCACATCACATGTGAGTGTATGTGCCCCAAATCCCAAGAGAATGGAGGAGAAGGGATTGTGCTATGATCATCCCCTGGTATGTATGTAGGGGGCAATTTCTCACTTTCCCCCTCTTTTTCTTCTCTGTCTTTTTCTCTCTGGTAAACACATGCACCCTTAGCAAATTAAAAAATAATATTAATAAATAAAAATTGGGAAGATGTTTTACTGGCCACCAGGGGCCAGGCGAGGGAGGCAAGGGTCTGAAAGAGCAAAGGCTGGTGGCTGCTGTGGCGGTCTGAGCACACAGGGGCACAGCCCATTCCTCAGGATATGGCATGGAAATACTGTAATTCAGGCAGGGGGAACAGAATCATTTTTTTGAACCAGGGCAGGTGACACTTGGTGGTGTGGGCATCCATATTCCCAGGCTCACTCATCTCAAGTCGGATTTCATTAAGCCGCTGTGACGTACGGCTGTGTTAGTCACAGGCAGGGGGAACAGAATCATTTTTTTGAACCAGGGCAGGTGACACTTGGTGGTGTGGGCACCCATATTCCCAGGCTCACTCATCTCAAGTCAGATTTCATTGAGCTGCTGTGACGTACGACTGTGTTAGTCCTTTTAGAAAGTACAGGCAGGGGACCAGCAGTTGGTGTAATGGCTATGTCATTGGACTCCCAGGTAGTTGACCGTGGTTCGAGTCCTGGACCCCGTGGTTTAAACTCACGCTGGGCGTGTATGTGTGTGC